TTTTTTTCAGTATTTTCCTTTTCCAACATATTTTCTCCTATGTCTTCTTTTTTTTTTTCATCTGTAATGTCTTCTACATCTGTGATAAGTCTTTGTTTTACTTTTTCTGTCATGCTTTTAACTTCACAGAGGATTCTTTTTGTTCTCAGCATAATCCTTATTTGTTTCTCTTCTCGTTTTATGGATTGCAACTTACCTCTTACAAGATTTTATTCTGTCTCCCTGCCTTGCTGTTTTTTTTTTCCCCCCTCCCAATACTTGTTTTGGAAGGACTCGTTGGTGTGGTGGGTGGGTGGGTATGTGGGTGAGGTTTAAGTGTGACTCACTGGAGATAAGGAAGGGGGCTTATACTCTTAATATTCAATGTATAGATTTTCACATAAACACCCTGATTTTGGTGTAGTGCCCCTCCCATCAACAGTCCTAAGCAGCCTGAGCTCAGCATCCTCTTGGTTTGCATAGAGCACAGTGTCCACTCTTCTCCTGGGGTAGGGAGCTGGCATATTGTTAGGTGGATGGTATGAAGGGTAGTATTTGAGGGTCTAACTTCTTTTCATGAAGATTATCACTTAATTTTCATCTCATCACCCTTTCTGTGCAAATCTTTGCTGCTTCTTCACTTAAGTTTATATTCTCTGGGTTCCAAGTCACTCAACATGTGTTTTCCAGCTTCCAATTTTTTTTCCTCTTACATTTTCCTTGTGCTTGTTGATTCATGCTAATTTCTTTTTTTCTTTTTTTAGATGCTTATTTTTTTCTTTTGGTGGAGGGGGTGGGGGAGACAACGAGAGAGGGAGAAAATCTCAAGCAGGCTCTGCAATGTCAGCGCAGAGCCAGATGTGGGGCTCGATCTCAAGAACTGTGAGATCACAACCTGAGCCAAAATCAAGAGTCAGACACTTAACCACCTGAGCCACCCAGGCACCCTGATTTATGTCTATTTCATACATTACTATTACCATAGTTGCACTTCAATACACAGCCAATGTCGACAAATGTGTTTAATACTTCATATTTTGCATGACACTACTATAACTTTAAATTAGGAAAATAGACTTGTCTCTGAAAACTAAAATCCTAGAATTTCTCTCTCTTATTAGGGGGAAAGTAAGGAAGGAAAGAAGGAAGGAAGGAAGGGAGGAAGGGAGGAAGGGAGGAAGGGAGGAAGGAAGAAATTCTTGATTTAGTCTTGGTCAGATTTAGAGTATGTTAGATTTACTGTTCAATATATGCATGCCGTTTATATGATTGTTATTCTTATTGACTAGAACTTTTATTTTTCCACCTTTTTCCTTGATGAAATAAAGAGAATTCATAAGCAACCATTACCCTCTGTCAGTGTGTTTAGAAATTATTCAAAAGATGTCAGGACTTCTACTTTAGACAATAATGAAAAAACTTTCAGACCAACATCTCTACTGGGAACACATAGACAATTTGGACATAGTATTTTTTTTAATTTGTTTGAATTTGTTCATTTAATTTTTTTGAATTCCAGAGTCTTCTTAATAGGTGTATGGTGGTCTCTGTGGCTTAAATTTTTATTTTGTTTATGATTGATGATCTTGAACACTTTATTTTGACTGACTATTCATGTATCTTCCATTTTTGAAATATCTGTTCAATATTTTTTGACTCTCTCTTATTTGGGTTGTTTGTCATTTTATTACTAAGCTATAAAGTTTGTTAATATATTTTAGAAATAAGCCCTTTACCAGACATCTGTGTTTTCAAAAGTTCTTTAATTTGTGGCTGGATTATTTTGTTCTTATTTTTCTTTTTCCTTTCTTTCCTTTTTTTTCCCTTTCTTTCTCTTATTTATCTTTTGATGAACAGAAGTTCTAATTCTGATGAAGCTTAATTATCTATTATTTATATTTTTAACGTTTTTTTTTTAATTTATTTTTGAGACAGAGAGAGACAGAGCATGAACGGGGGAGGGTCAGAGAAAGGGAGACACAGAATCTGAAACAGGCTCCAGGCTCCGAGAGGTCAGCACAGAGCCTGACGCGGGGCTCGAACTCACGACCGTGAGATCATGACCTGAGCGGAAGTCGGACACTTAACCAACTGAGCCACCCAGGCGCCCCTACCTATTTTTTTAAAAAAATAATTGATGGTCCATATTCGCTTACCTTAAGGTTGTAAAGATATTTTCCTGTATTTTCTTCTAGAAGCTTTATAATTTAGCTTTAGTGTTAAAATTAAAGTCACATTTTTTTTTAAGTTCAATTTACACTTAAAATTTATCTTGATCTAACCTTTATGTCTGATGTGAACTAAGTACCAATGTTGAGTGCACAATATCACTGGGCAAGACAGAAAAATAGGTTAGTTTTTGATTAATTAAATTTAACTTTTAAAACATATCCTATGTTTAGGATTTTTGTAAGGTTTATTTTTGAGAGAGAGAAAGAGAGAACACATAAGCGGGGAATGTGGAGGACAGGAGACAGGAGGACAGAGTATCCTAAGCATGCTCCGTCTGACAGCATGGAGCCGATGCAGGACTGGAACCCATGAAAGGCGAGATCATGACTGGAGCCGAAGTGTGACGCTCAACTGACCAAACCACCAAGGCACCCTAATTAATTTGATTTTTAATAGAGCTGGTTATTGTTTTTTAATGATATCGAGGAACACAGAGAATCATTAGCAGAGGCAGAGAACCAGATCTGGAGGATACTTTTCTAGGATCAGTGGTGAACTTAAGTACAGAATTGGACCGGGGAAAAATCCCATTGCTGCCACTCCGTGCACAGGGAGAGCACTGTTCATTGCCAACAGTGCTGACACATCCAGGACTCTGAATGCGCCCTCTCTGATTACTGCTACTCCTGCCTCACATCACCAGAATGAATTTGTATAGCACATTTTTTCTTGGGTCACTAGCATCTGATCGATTAACAAGGATTTTCTTCTGAATAGTAGAGCTGATGTCATGTGCAAAACTCTCCCTACAAGTCATCTGTTACTGTGTTTTGTAACGTGTGGCTTTAAGAACATAGAAAGAAGTTGCAGACGGTGCCAAAAATAAATGGCAGATACCCCCGCACAGAGTCCACTTGTGTGTGTATTTTTGAGGTTATGTTTCCAACAGGGTTTACCAAGAAGTGTAGAGCTCCATATATCTGACCATGTGAAAATGGTTTCATAGTCATTTATTACAATAAGGATTACTACAATAAGATAGGATTAATAGAGTCACCAGTACCCCCCATTCTAAAATAGTTAGGCTTGGTGCCTCGGTGGATTAAGCTATCTGACTTCTGCTCAGGTCATGATCTCACGGTTTAGGAGTTCCAGCTCTGAATCGGCTCTGTGCTGAGCCTACTTGAGTCAGTCTCTCTCTCTCTCCCTCTCCCTCTCTCTCCCTCGCCCTCTCCCTCTCTCTCTCTCTCTCTCTCTCTCTCTCTCTTCTGTGTGTGTGTGTGTGTGTCTGTCCTGCTTTTCTAAAAAATAAACAAACTTAAATAAATAAATAAAGATAAATAAATAAATAAATAAAGTTAGGCTTTTGTAAGTTTTTCCTTGTTCCCTGCACTGAAACCGTTCTTTGGGCGATGTGTGAATGAATTCCTGCCGCTTAACAAGTGATTTTTATTTTCTGCTTTTTTCTGGAAAATCTTAGTATCCATGTTGTGGTAGGTTTTTTCCTTTCTGAAATTTTGTCATTTATTGAGTACACGAGAGAGAGTAATCATCATGGTTTGCAAATAAAGATATTTACATCATTAGCCAGCCTAACATTATGTTCCTTAACTCAATAGGTACACACTTTCCCCTTACATTTTAACATCTTTAAAGTCTTTTTGCGTTTTACAATAAATAGTATATGATAGTTACATTGCAAGCATTTTTTCCAGTTCGTTGTATGCAGACCGGCTATACATCTTATAAATACATAATCATATCTTAGATTGGTGAAGTGTAATGATTGTTTTTAAATACAAAAATAATAATTACAGATATATGATCAAGGCCATTGCATAATTATGCCCCCTTGTTATCAATGTCTTTATTTAATACGATAGACCTCAGACATCAAGATTCTCCCAGAAATTATGCAAACCCAACAAAAACTCAAACTTCCACTCCTCTGTTTTAACAGCTGTGTCAGTCTTCTCTGTTTATCTCAAAATGGCACCTGCAGCCTCTGCTGTGGTCTCCTGGTGGTATGTGAATTTATGAGGGAATCCTCAGGCCATTGAGACCCACTGTCCTCTGGCTTTCCTGTGCTGGCTACCACAGAGACAGCACTTCCCTTTTCCTGACTCATTAGTTCAAAGAGTGGGTACCCTATGAAACTACCTCTCAGACTGCAACAAATACACCATTATAACCGTGGTAGTAATGCATTTTGTGTCTTGTTGTCCTCCGTCAGAAAAATTCCCTTGTTTTGCACTAATCCTTTCCCATACTGCTTAGGGATCAATCAAAACAAGGGCTTACATTTGTGTACTGACCGACAGCTTTGGATATGCATTTATGTGTATCACCTCACTTAACTTTCACAAGTGTGTTTTATGACAGGGTAGTTATTCTCATTTTACAGAGAAGAAAACAGTGTTTGACTATGCTCATGTACTAGAGGATCGCACGTTCCGAATTTGGGTTACACACCTCCAAATTACATCTTTCTTCTTATTCACTCTGCCCTTTAATATCTGCATTCTGAATGTCTAAACTCCTTCTTTCATTTTTGAGTTTTCATTTAATGATCTTGTAATAAAAAAAATGAGCAAAGAATAGTACCTCTTAGTGTTTTCTAGATACATAACAAAAATTGATAGACCTTGTATCTGATATTTCATATTTTTGTTAACTGATGAATTCATTTGCAAATTAGTTTGAGAAATGATCCCATAGATCAATTGCTTTAAGTAGGAGAGGATTGAATATTTGCTTTCAACAGAAACTAAATTTTGAAGAATCTGTCTTATCCTAACATTGATCTCACTCACCTATAATATTTTTTTCAACACCTCTTTTATTTCTAGTTATGTTTCGCCTCTATGACACAGATGGGAATGGCTTCCTGGACAGCTCGGTAATTTTTTTTCTTCAAATTTTCTGTGAAAATTTCAAAGCAGTTTGTTCTGAAAAATGCAATGAATAAATTTATAGCTATTACCACAGAAGACACACTTAATATAATTTCTATGCACTCACACAGCATTTTTATCATCTGAATTTTTGAAAGAGAATGATCTGAAAAGGCTGTTAGGATTACAATTGTTCTATTGAATTATTTTACTAGAAAAAAGTGACTTTTATGCATGGGACGATAAAAAAAGACCCCAACCTTGTTTGAATAATACATGAGAAAGTTGAGATCATTGATCTAGAAAGAAAAAAAAATCTGAGGTTTGACACTAAGGAAATTATCGAGAATACCAGTAGAATTAAAAGAAATTATAAAGTCAATTCAATCATGTTATCATTTGACACATTTTAAAGTCTTTTGGTCATATATATGCTGTTAAAATACATACATATATTTAAAAATTGATTTGACCAACTCTCCTTTTTAAAATGTCTCATCTAATATAAATGCAAACTGTATTCTTTATCATTTTAGTCATAAAAAGCAGTAGGAAAAAAATACAATCTCTGTATGACTTAATTGAAATGAATAATTAAATGTTTATTTTATTTGTAATATACACAAATAAGTGTTAGTTTTCAGAGTAGTTAGATTCTTAATTTTACTGCACGAATCAGTGCCTCAAATGAAAATCCATTTCAGGTTCCATCCAATAATGCATTTACATTTCCTAATCATATATTTTTCATATTATATCATTGCCTATTCCATAAAGGAAATATAAGAATATTAATAAAATAATAAATGTCAGGTTGTGGAAATTTTGAAGTATGCAGGTACATTAAAAAACAAATGTTTTGATATTTTTAAATTGATTAAAATGAGCATTACTTCTGATAATGAGTGAGTTTCTCTCATCATCTGATATACTTCCCTCTAACAGAACCAAACAGAATTCTACAGGCAAAGCAATGAAGTTGGATACATATTTATGTAATGCTGAGTACGATAATGGCACATTAGCTTCTCCAGAGAGAGATAAAAACGTATAATTCCTAATTTAGGAAATGACCACCCATCTAAATTGATGCTGTGATTGTAGGATTTCTTATTTAAGTCCCTCCAGTTTTTCAAATGCTATCATTTTTAAGTGCCTGGTAGTGTGCAGTTTTCCATTTAGGAATATTAAGCTACATGATACATTTGCTCATTTTCTGGTGGCACTTCACAGCTAGGAGTTTAGACTTTTCTAGATATTTCCATATGCTTATTGTAGCACTTCTGACTATATTGATACAAATTATATTTCAATGCAAATTTGTTTTATTTAATGTTTCTGTTTAATTAAATTAAAAAGATGTTTCTTTACTAGACTTTTAGCCATGGTTTGGCAGCTGATTTGAAAACTAAATTAAATGCTTTTTTGGTCTCTGGCCATTTTTGTTGTTGTTGTTAACATACAGTATATTTCCAACAATATTTATAACTATACATACAATATTAAACAATGAATTGGGGATAAATAAATTTATTTATGATTCAAGTAGTCTGTTTTGTAATTAAGGGTCTGAATTTTGTTTTTATGGTTTTCTCCATACAACCTACTACAACAGTATATTGCCTTCACTGTCAGGTTGAAATTGCACATGCTGATGTCATTTGTCTTGGAATTGTAAAGGTATAACACTTCACATAGTGGAGGCAAGGCATAGGAAAATTGATACTTTGAAAAATGACCACTGTTGTGTAATAATGCTAGTTAATATTTATTGATCCCTCGCACTATGCCAGGTGGCATAAATGTATTTCATATCATAGCATGTTTACTCTTTGCAGCAACTCTACGAACTAGGTAAGATTAGAATAGTCATTTTACTGATGAGGAAACCGAGTCTTAGGTTAGTTGACTTATCTGATGTCAATTAAACATGCCTACATAATAGTCCACTAGAAATAGTTTCTGTTCCTAAAAACATATCCAGGGACGTTTAACCTTTGTAAACCACTAAGGCATATATATGTAGGCAAAGACAGAGTAACACACACACACACACACACACACACACACACACACGCACAATTCTAGCCTATAATTCCAAGGTACACTAGTTTAAATTTTTTCTTATCTGTATTAAGTAAACACATTCATATTTGTATGTTTTTTTGGGGCAACCTATGTTACACAAGCAACATTTTCATGATTACATTTTTCTAGAGAATGGTAGGGTAGCTTCCATCAGTTTTTTATAGGGATCCATTATCTCCCAAAAGAAAACCTCTTTTACTATATCTCCTTCTTCACTTTATGAATGTTAAGTACATATATTAGATCAGAGATTGAGATTAGTAGATTAGAGATTAGATTGAGTAGAGTTATCTTTGATTAATATGCTTTCAAACCTTATTCTTTTATACTATAAGAAGTATAAAGTTTTACATTATTATACTGTAACAACAATTTTAATTACGTCATTGACTACTTTTAAAATTACTAGCATTTACAAAGCATATTTAATCTATTCTGGAGACAGGGAACAATTAAAGCATTAAATAAATAGTTATGAGCAAATGTTTTAATTTGTTTAGTCAAGTCATATGTATTAACTAGCCATTGTTCAAAGAGTTGACACTTGAGCAGAATAATATGAAGATTCTAACTAAAATTCTATTTCCTCATAAAATAAACTTTACATGTACTTAGCCTCTAAACTTTGACCCTTGAACGCACCTCTAGTAGAGCAAATTATACCACTTAATGACTAGAACAGTCAGTATACATTCTCAGTGTATCGGAATAAAAATAAACTTCTCAGTTGCCCTCAAACACTTCCTTTCATCCTTCCACACCTGTTTCCAAGCCATAGGGTCAGGATGCTTGGTGACTTAAACATCACATCTTGTGAAAATATGCATGTCTCTTCTTTGATCAGATGTTCTTTCCCAAGACAGATTTTCTTCCTTAAAAAAAAAATCTTTTGGAAGAAAATCTTTTTTTGTGCAGTTGGTGCCCTCTCCTGGTGAAGATTTCTAGACAAAGTACAAAATGAATTTGTATTCAAGTACATCTTTTATGTATAGTTAATCAGACTGTTAAAAGGATATATTACATGTGTATATAAATTACTATATAGATATATAAATTTTATATAATAGGTATAAATTAATCATGTAACTCCTTTAGTTTTTGAGCTACATGTTAAAGAAAACAATTCTTGTAAGTAAAAGTTTGAAAAACTTACAAAGACCTTGTATTCATATCCATATTCTCTCTCTCTCTCTCTCTCTCTCTCCACCCCCCCCTCACTCTCTTCTCTCCAGGAACTAGAAAATATCATCAGTCAGATGATGCATGTCGCAGAGTACCTTGAATGGGATGTCACTGAACTTAATCCAGTAGGTATATGAATGGTTTAACTGTTGGCTACATTCTAAAAGACCCCTTTGTCTTTTGGGTTTTGTTTTGTTTTGTTTTGTTTGTTTGTTTTTGGAACTTGAAGATACTCCTGTCATTTGATATTTTCCTTTGATAACTTTAAGTTACTCTTTCTATTCAGTGCTGAAAATGGATTCTGAACAAGAAAATGTGTATGTGCTGTTCTGGAGTTCTAAACAGTAACTTTTCCTTTTCTTCTTCATGGAAATTAATTTGAATGGTGGCCTCAAATATCTGTCGGTAAACAGGCTGCTGATGAACACTGCCAAAGTTGTGCCTTGTCATAAAAAAGTCAGAAATGATGTGTGTTTTTCATGATCTCTATGATTTTCCTCGTATGGAAATAGCTAAATATTGATTCTAAAAGAAGGTGAACTCAATCAAGAAGATGATAGTTTACTGTGTATGGCATTGTATTATTCCCTGTATATATGTTATTCAACACTTGCAACTCTCTGAAGTAGATACTACTATTTTATTCATTTTACAGATGAGGAATTGAGACCTCAGAATGTTAAAGTAACTTCCCTGTAGCACTTAAGCTGGTTAAAGATAGAGCTAGAAAATTATAATCTATTGTTTAAAGAAATGGTATCTAACAATGCTTGTAAGAGGGCGCCTGGATGGCTTATTGGGGCGCCTGGATGGCTCAGTTGGTTAAGCAGCCAACTTCGGCTCAGGTCACGATCTCGCGGTCCGTGAGTTCGAGCCCCGAGTCGGGCTCTGTGCTGACAGCTCAGAGCCTGGAGCCTGTTTCAGATTCTGTGTCTCCCTGTCTCTGACCCTCCCCTGTTCATGCTCTGTCTCTCCCTGTCTCAAAAATAAATAAAATGTTAAAAAAAAATGAAAAAAAACCCTTATTTTTTACAGCATTATTCAAATGTATATTAAAACATACTTGATTAGAATCTGTGACTTTTGCTACAAGTAATATTTTGGGGAGAGTTGATAAGTATGTTATTGACTTTAGTTTATTCTTGAAACCAACTAAGTCGAGAAAATTATAAATGAGTTAAGCAAATAGAAATCAATTTATTTTAATGGCTTGCATTTTATATGAATTTTAAAAGCCTTATAACGGCATGATAATGACATGATTATATGATAGGAGAGCTGAGATAGCATTCCCTTTGCTTTGGAAACTAATGCCAGTAAATTACAACAAAATTATATGCAATGTCACCTATAAAGGAGGGCACCATTCTTACTGGGATTGAGGTTTCCAAGTTTTAAGTCAACTGGTTTTTCTTTTTTGAGGGATGTGGAAATACATATGCTGTGCACATGATGCATAGCAGATATCATGAACAAGGTTGCAGTTTTTATATTCAATAATAAAAGAATGGTATTTAATTCTAAGATTACTGCTTGATTCATCTTAGTACTATTTTCACTGAAATTAAGGGACTTTTAAGTTATTTTGTCCTTTGGGGTTATGTTCATCTAAAACAGCTTTGTCCATCCTACTCACCTTAATACCTGTAAATATGGTACATCTTTCAGTCAAGTCTCTTGTCCTCACTGGAGCCATGGAAAGAAGGAAGATGTTTTTTATATTAGGTTTTAAAGCTGAAGGCGGCACTACTGCTTTCTCTCCCCCAAAATATTGGCAGGCTGTACATTTGAGTAAAAGGGAGATGTGGATGATTTGAGGAAGGGAACAGTTGGTGGCTGGGCCGTCTAATTATGACAGATCCCTACTAGAAAATATAAATAATAAACTGTATGGCATTATTTGTCATTTGCAGCACACACTGATAAATCTTTCACCTCTGTGAGTAGTATAAATAGTAGAAAGTGAAGATAAAATGACTTACCTTGTGCAGTGTGTTTGCCATCATGGGGAACGGCATGCCTCATCCTGCCTAATGATTCGGCAACTCTGCCTGTTTTAAACCAGTGTGTACATTTGTACACATTGTCAGACACCTGATAAGTTTACACTTTTGAATAAAAACAATTGAACATTTGAGGTTCATGGCAGTTAATGGGGAATATTGAGACGTCCTTGGAAAAGGATTTTTTCAAAAAATGAACCCAGGCTCTAACATTAGATGTATGAGGTACAACCACCTGAAACAATGCTCTGTGTTTTAGTTTTCTTCTTATTTATTCTTTCTACTAGTTCATCAAAGTACGTTCAAGGGGCAGGAGATTTTAACAATATCTTCTACCTTTTTGCTAAATTCTAAATAATTTCCCCTGTTTTTCATTTGGAGAATAATAAAATGATTATTTCAGCACTATTTTTTCCAAAAAGTCTCTTGTTTCTCAATACCTACCTTTAGGTGTGTATGAAGGAAAATAACCTGATTTTCAAATACTTCATGAGGAACCACACCAATCAACTAAGTTCAGGAGTTTTTAGGCAAACAACACTGTATCAACATATCAAGTATTTCATTTATTGCATCTTTCAAATTTTTGTTCTAATGCTCTCCATGTATCTTTTTTTTTTTTTTTTTTTTTTTTTTTTTTCTGAATCGATTAAAATTTCTGTATTAGCATTTTGGTGCTATTAGATGGAAATACTTCATCTCCCCAGAAAGCAAGGGTAATATGTTTGGAACACACATATACTTTCTGCTAATGTAATATTAACAGCCCCTATGTGATACTTAGTATACATTCTGGATGCTCTTTGAAAAAGCTTACAGTAAATTAACATACTTATTAAACACATTGGATTAAATACTGATATTACCACTGTAAAAGAGATAGTTGTATTACCAACAAACACTGTAGAGAACATTTTGAGACATTCTATACAAGTCAACTTTAGAAAAGAAACCTAATCAAAAATGACTTGATGGTTTAACTTCTTGGATTTATTAAGTTCTGATAGACAATTAAAAGCAACTTAATTCCTCCACCCCTTACCACTTAGCAAAGAATTACTTCAGCTCTTTGCCATGAAGTTAATTTGTTCAGACATTTTCTGGCATATACATGAATTTTAAAAATCTAGAGAAAGCAATTAAAGACCACTTTCACCCTTAAATTAAAGATACCCTCTTGTTTTAGCTGTATCATTCACTGAGAAGTATTAAAAAGTTAAGCAGTTATTCCTACAAGTTGAACATCATAGGTGGTCAAGTTCCAGAAATCACAACAAAGCCACGATATCCACAGTTTTTGGATTAACATTGTACCAACTTACCTAGGTATTTATCTCTACTCTGCAATTAGTTGCTGGTCAGTTTGTTTTAGCTAATTCATTGCAATGCTTTATTCTTTCTTTTGAAATGCATTTTATTGATTTACTGCAAGCTTTCCCTCATCTCTTCTACTCCAGATCCTCCATGAAATGATGGAAGAAATAGACTATGATCATGATGGAACAGTCTCTCTGGAGGAATGGATCCAAGGAGGAATGACAACAATTCCACTTCTTGTGCTCCTGGGCTTGGAAAATGTAAGCATTTACACAAAGAGGGTGGCCTGGTGGTAAGTCAGTGGGGTGCTCCATTACACATTTTGATTATAAATTGATTTGGCCATTTTCTGTCATTAAGCATGTAGTGAGTGCCTGGACCTTTTAATAAGTATACCACAGTGCAGTGTCATAATAAGTTGTGATTAATACTTGCCACAAACACATTGATTCATTTTAGGTATTGCTTTATTATTTAATATGTAATTTCTTTTTTTCTCTATTTAAAATATGATCTAGTTTGAAAAAAAATATTGACCTTCTCATTTTATTTACTGCAAGAAACTCCCCAATATTATTACAGTCTGTGGTTCTTGTGGTGCTCCTTCTCATTCCATAATCACCATCCCCATGAAGAAAATCTATTTTATTGATAACCAATACTTGGAGAAGCCAATTATATACTGAGGTAGTTAAGAGTATATATGAAACATAATTTTTTCTTACGTATCATCAGATCAGCCAGCTTTTCATTCTAAGCCTATCAAAAGTTTTCTTATATCATTGCTGCCAGTGGTAATTAAAAAGTGGTTTGCCAGAAAATAAATGAACCTAAGTTTAGAATGGGATATAACAGTGAGTTTGAAACTGAATCTTGCTGCCGGGTCTTGATGTCAATTTCAGTAATCAAAGTCAATGAGTCACTATTGGATTTTTGTATGTAGCATTAATAAAAAGAATTAATTCTAATGTGCATATAATAAAATGTATACTAAGATTTAGAGAACATTACTTATGGAAACCACGATAACACATAAAATATTTAGAATTTTGAAATGCAAGAACATCACGTCCACCACTTTGCTGCTGACTCCAAAACTTCTCATACTTATTTGTTACCAGAGCTAACAACGTTGCCAATTCAAGACTATACCACAGTTACTCAAGAGACCAAAATTTTTTTTAATTTTATTTTTTTTAAATTTACACCCTAATTAGTTAGCATGTAGTGCAACAATGATTTCAGGAGTAGATTCCTTAATTTCCCTTACCCATGTAGCTCATCTCCCCTCCCATATCCCCTCTAGTAACCCTCTTTTTGTTCTCCATATTTATGAGAAGAGACCAAATTTTTTAAAGCCCTCGTGAAATCTTACAGTCTGTATTTGTAAGACATATGAGAATATACACAAATATGTTTGTACACTTTTACATACGGGTGTGGGAATATATATGTGGGCTTTAGGAAACTAGCATTTCTCTCTTTTTCACCTGAATGTTCAAATTCTTTCACATTTAGGTTAAGCTTACCCCTCATGAGGCCCATAGGATTTTAGATATGGTCATAGGAAGGCAAAGAAAAATTGCTAATAGGTGATATACAAGGAAGTTATCCTTAAAGTAAATAATTTATTAAAACAAAGTAGATCTTATTGTTAATAGATATATATTTCTACATTTTGAAAATTAATGAGGCAGTTTTTTCTTATATCTGATGTTCTCATACAATACATAACCTGATATCTTTTGGTAAGAACCTGTTGTATATCTCTATATTTTAAATATTTGTTTAATTGTTTAATACACCTGATTAAACTATATGTAAATAAATCAGGAGAAAACAAAAAGAAAATTAACAAAAGTTAACATTTTAAGGAGTAAGGTATACTTTAAAATGAAAAAGTTGTCATATGCTAGTCAAGAAGTTCTGATAATAATTTCCCTCAAAGAGAATTTTATATTTTTAAAGCTACAATTACATTTATTCTAAATATTTATGGAAATTTTAGTTATGAGAGAATGTATGGGAATGAGTAAGTACACTATTTGGTATTTGGTATGCTGGACAGCAAAATGCAGAAATGCAAACTTAGTCATCTATTTTTAAAATATTACATAAAGATTTTGAAATGATGTTCTTCTAAGGAACAGTTGTTTAGATTTTTTATAAATATATATATATATATATATATACACACACATATATATATATTATTTATAAGGTTGTGAAAATAGCATGGGTAAATACAATCCACAAGTCCTGATAGATTTAATTCAAAGTATTTTAAACAAATACAATACTTCATCGGTTTCTAATGTAGCAGTAAATTTATTTCAACTGAATGAAAATTCTTTGTCATGAATTTCTATCAGGCTAAGCATACCTAATATACTTTATAATCATGTTCTTAAATTTATATTTTGTGTTTTTAGTAATATGAGATGTTTTTGGAGTTTAACAGGAGAAATCCATTTAGGGTTTCAAAGTAGTAACCAGACCTATGTTCCAAAATTGTGTTTCCAGTGAAAGCCACTAGATGGCATGGCTACATCGTTTAACATTTACTGATCAACTTAAATAGGAGATGGAATTTTTCCTCTCTAAAGAATTCTGAGAGTAATATCCCTTTTCCTTTGCTTTTTTAAAAAAGAATAAGCCAATAATGTTTTAAATTGTCTTTTAATAAAACGTATAAGCCATGTAATTATGATCACAAAACAGAGCATTTATTTGTTAGAAACAGCTTTTTAATTCTGAAGCATGGAAAGTGTTATACAAAGCAGGAATGACACAATGACAACTGAGTGATGAGGACCTTTTTTTAGTAATTGAGATTTATTTCCTTTTCTGTAGGCAGTTAATGTGTTATGTTATTACCTGTAGAGAATTTGATTCATGATGCCATTTCCCCCTTCCACCCCCCAAGCCCCCCCCCTTTTGCTAATCAAATTGGAAATCTAGAAGCTTTAGGTTGAATCCAGCCATTTATTGTGCAGCCAGTCTTGTTATGTTGTCCTATACATTCTTGTCTTCTGTCAATTATGAGCTCAGGGAGTAGATTCTAATTGATAGTGCTTGTTAAATACCACAGTGCATTTGAAAGTGACTGTGGTGTACTAGCCAAATTACACAGATAAGAACATTGTCCTGGGAGAGAAATCCTTACTTCTAATGCAAAGCAGAACAGTTGTGATTTCATGGTAGTTTATTTTTCTCCATCAATGGACTTTAAATATTTACTCTATTTCAAGTACTATCTGTTTTGGCAGCAAAATCACAAATGTAGTTTATCAGAACCTGATTCTATATCAAATGCTAGAGAGTAAGAGTCATTTCTTTTCTATTATAAGAAGTCCATGAGGGGCACCTGGGTGGCTCAGTCAGTTAAGCATCTGACTTCGGCTTAGGTCATGATATCACAGCCTTTGAGTTCGAGTCCCGCATCAGGCTCTGTGCTGACAGCTCAGAGCCTGGAGCCTGCTTCGGATTCTGTGTCTCCCTCTCTCTCTGTCCCTCCCCCGCTTGTGCTCTGTCTCTCTCTGTCTCTCAAAAATGAATAAATGTAAAAAAAATTTTTTTTAATTAAAAAAAAAAAAAGAAGGCCATGAAACTTAGCAAATCCAGTATGAAATGGTACAGTCTGTTACATCTGAAGGAAAACTGAGAGTTTGGGTGGCGCTTGTGATTTTTATTATACCTGAAGCAGAGTCATTTATTTATAAGGTCTTTGTTGCAGTTGCTCATTTCCACCATATGGCTGGCACAGAAGTAATCACAGGAACTAAGTAAAGGAAAGAGCAAAGCTGTGTTCCAGGAAAACCTTATTTACAAAAACAGCTTGCTAGTCAGATTTTACCCACAGGCCATAGTTTTCTGACCCATGGTTTATTCTGTCGCTTATCTGTCATATTAGAAACAGAAAGAGTATTAATTTATATTTAGTCATTTAGGAGAAAGGAATCTAATATCTTTTTATTTAGCTCAGTTAGACCCAACAAGACATGTAGACTAATGAAGAGATAGTACGGTAGCAGTGAACTTCATAAAATTGATCTTTACCTTGGCTCTGTTACTAACTAACTAGGTCATTTTTGTGCCAGCCAGTCATTCTCTCTAGATACATAAAAAGAAACTAGGCAACAATATTCCTTTCCTTTTCAAATATTCTTTCAACTCAGTTATTCTTTTTTTTTTTTTTTTTTTTTTTTTTTTTTTTTTTTTTAGATTAACAAGATAATTCATAGTGCTGCAATTCCTAAAATCTGTAATCTTGGATCATTATTAGGTTTTTCAAAGAAAATTCCTGAATTCATATTATCATAAAAACAGAAATACACATTTAAGTAGGAGCCTGGCTTAAGATAAGAATACCTTAACTTCTTAGTCTTGGATTGTAGTGCCCACATCTGGCATGTATGGCTTTTGAGTGGATATATGTTTTCATTTCATTTTATGTGTTCTCAGAATCCTGGACTTTAAATACTATACATCATTTAAACTTTGCTGTTGATCAGAATGTCTTAGGACACATATTTTCAGCTGACTCAGCAAAGTAAAAGTAACCACTTGGTGTGCCTCCTGATTTCTGATGAAGTCTATTTCCTGATGAAATTTCTGAGTATAATGGAGAGCCGAAGATGATGCATTCTTAATAGACTAAGCTATATTTGGAAAACTAATGCTTCACACTCTATTTTTTAAATTTAATTTGGTTGAGCTGTTGTTCTGCTGTTTATACATTGCTCAATCTAGAAAGGAATTATGAAGCTGGATAAATGCAACAATTCTTGAGATTCCAAGTTGGGTCATTCAAGGACGCCAGCTCGGTGCTGTGATGTGCTCTTGGATTTGCATTTGAACCCAAGAATGGCAGGTCCTGAGCCTGGCTTTTAAAAATGGGATCTGGAGATAAGCAGTTGATTGCAACTCTACTCAGAATTTTAAACTGTCTCTCTGCATTCTCTTTGCCCAGATCTGATGTAACTCATCTTTCTGTCTTAAAGAGCATTTTCTTACATATTGTTATATCTTTTTGGAGACCTTGAGCAGAAAAGGAAGGTAATTGAATGGCCATTATTATTTAATAAGTTGGAATTAATTTGCAACATTTGCTCTTAAAAGTGTCTTAAGTGAAGTCAGCTGAAACAGACAGGGATGTGGCCCGGTATGGGGATTAGGGGCATTTTGGCTATGACATTAGTAAATTTTCTCCTTCAGGTCTTTTGAAAAAATGAGATTATTTATAGTAGCCCTAGTTCACTTGAACATGATATGTGATCTTGGATGCATTTAGGGAAAAACTAAAACTTTAGAAATCATTAGGGTCATGAAATAGCTTCCAAACATTTCCAAGGGGCATTCTTGCCTTTGAAACCTCCTTTTGACTTCTAGGGAGTAAAAAGGGAAGAGGAACTTAGGGCTCTTTCTCTGTGTGAACTTGCCTCCGTTTCATTAAGTGGTTCTCTGTCATAATCAGTTCACAGAACTGAACCACTTCACTTATAAAATACAGTGTTTTGTAAATATCAGGAGGAAATTTCTACTAAAAGTGATGTCTGGTAATGAAAAACAGAACAGATTTTTTATGAAACAAAGTATAGTAAACCTACAAACATCCTTCTCAAGTCTTTTGGCTAAAACATTGGGATGTTACAACTCAACCCAATGATAGTAATAATATTTGCTGTTTATATAACACCAATCTTCTGAGGAGCTAAATTGACTTCACAGGTATTGTATAATGAAACCTCACACCACAGCCTGGGAGAGGAAAGTAGGTGTTTCCATTTTATTAGAGAGGAAAATAGGAAGAGAGGTGAAATGGCTTATCCACATTTTCATAGTAGGCCAGGAATCAAGCCTTCTGGATTTTTCTCTTCATTTCTTGTTTAAAAAGATGAATTCCTTTCTATGACAATAAATATTTATTTGCAAGAGAAGTACTATTAGGGACATGCTCTACTGGCTGATAGAATATAATAAGGGACAGATTCTCCCTGTCCCCCACTAAGTTTAATAAGACAAACAAGACAAGACATGAAAATACAGAGGGCTGGAGTATAATTTGCACTGCTGAGAAATAGTTGGCTCCTGGTTTCAATTTCTTCTCTTGAAGTCACATACATATTTCATCCTTTGCATATTTTGGCAATGTATCCGGTTAAGAGCTATAAAGCTATTTAATTTGTTTTTTGGTAAAGTATTTTATGTCTGGGTAATGGATTTGTACATCAGTTACAGCCTGTAACATGGCTAAGTGTTCTGATTGACAGAACACCCACGTTCAGACTTGTTTATTTTTTGATAAGGAAAATGCCAGCTAACTTAGTCCATATGTGCTCTTCAACAAGATGAGGCTTATTCACATGTAATGGACATTCATTTAAAAATAAAATGACAAGGATTATAAGAACAGTAATACGTATTAAAATTCCATATTTTTTTCTTTCCTCGTTTCACTTAAGAATGTTTGTTTAACCTGATTTTATCTATATCTATGTATTATTTCTATCTACCTATCTATAGCTATGTGTCTATATCTATATCTATATCTGTATCTATATCTATATCTGTATCTATATCTATATCTGTATCTATATCTATATCTGTATCTATATCTATTAAATTAACAACCCCCTCACTTAAACTTTTCACTCAGGATGTTTTATTCTTATTTTAAGGAATAGAAATTTTAAAATACAGACAGTTTGAAAAACATAGCAATGCTAAACAAATATATAAAATGTTCCATTCATATAATAACAACACAAGAAATCTCATGACTCAAACAAATTAGAACTGGATTCAGAAAGTACTATAAACACTATTTCTTATTTTATTTTATTTATTTTGAGAGAGACAGAGAGAGCATGAGCCGGGAGGGGCAGAGAGAGAATCTCAATCTCCACTCTCAGTGCAGAGCACCACACAGGGCTTGAGCTCATGAAACCATGGGATCATGACCTGAGCCGAAATCAAGAGTTGGGCACTTAACTGACTGAGCCACTCAGGCACCACTATAAAAACTATTTCTTAAGTTGTGGAAGAAAATTAAAACACCAGTGTTTTCTGATGTCCTCTCCACAACACCCTTAGCATAACTGCTTTTGTTGAGAGCTTGTTTGTCAAAACAAACAAACAAAAAACAAAAAAAAAACTAAACATTGTCCAGAACTGTGAAGGGTCTAAGAAGTTCCCTACTTGCACATTAGCAAGTTAGCTTGTTCAAGTTTCATGTATGCTGGCAGAGGACATGAGACACCTGGGTCAGAAACAAAGGACATTTATTTATAGCACAGCAAGAGGTAGGAGCTGCATGTTTGAGCCAGTTCTCTTGGCCTATAGTCTCACACAGGTGATGGAGCATGTCACAAGGAATCACTGTGCACAGCCTCAGAGCTTGGATCCCCTGGCTCGGGGAAACTAAATCTTTTATAATGTGCAATAAACAAACCTGCTTAACCTTTTCTTAGAAGAGAGAGATTATTTTTATTATACTGGACAGTAAGTAAAACTGCCCTCTGCTCTGTAGGGAGATCCTTCTCTATTGTCCAAGGCTACCTGTTTTTCAAATATCTTTAAAAAGATAACCTGGAAAAAATGACAGTTCTTCTGCTTACAAAATGTGCAGAAATTCAAGACACCCATGGAGAATTATCTCCCAGGAAACATTTTCATTAATGTTTCATATTATGATGCAAATTTGACATTTCTGGTTCTAATGTAAGAGTTAGTTACTATGGATTTAATCAAGTATTTTAAATCTGATGGTTTTATCTCATCACTGGAAATAAAAAAAGGTGGTCAGGAAGCATTATTATTAATATTTTAGTATAAAGAAAAATGAAACGATCTGGACATGTTTATATTGTCCCACCACTATGGAAAATGTATTCATGTCACAGCACACAGTAGGTGATCAAAAAGTTTTATTAGGTGAATGTGTTCTGAAAAATATAACAACTAGGCTAACGTGAAATATCATGTCCTATAATGGTTGCCATTGAATAAGTGATGCCTAAAATTAATCTGAGTTTGATAGAATTTGGTGAATGGTGTACACGTTCTGCAAGGACAGAAAATGATAGTAACAACAGTAATGGTATTTAATAATTTCATTTAGTATCTTGACCTTCTTGTAAGGAATTCAAGAGATTCAGGAGCATCTTAGTATTTCATTTTACTTCAGTCTGAACAATATAGATGTAATTAAATACCTATTAGAGAAATAGCTATTATGATATTATATAGTTTTACTTAGAAGAATAAATCATAATTATAATTGTTATGAAAAATGTGATTTAACTCAAACTTAAGATTATTATAGCAAATAACTATAGTGCTTGTTATAAATAAATACCATAATACAGTTTTAATATTTTAGCACCTTTCTATGAGATCAAAATCACTCATATTTTATGGAAGAGGAATAAACAAGATGATAATATAATTAAGTCCGATGATAATATAATTAAGTCCTTAAAAAGTTTATCTTTTAAATTTTGCTAGCTGTGACATACAAAAATACACTAATGTAAACTATAAGGTGTAAGTAGTCCTCAACTGAAGTCTTAAAATAACACCAATAACTTACCTTTAAGTAATTGTTCTTTCCCACCCCATTCCATCCCATTCCTCTGCCTCCTTTAAGACCCCCTATCATGAAATTTGAATATTCCTACTACTAAGCAAGGGTTAACATTCTTTCCAAGTTTGTATTTGTCAGGCTTTTCCACTCAAGAAGAGCGTTTTCTCTTTATTTATTCATTTACTTCTTTCTGGAATTGTTCTAAGGATAAAATTTTCAAAGGCGAGGCAAGCATGTCCCCTTTCTTAGGGAGTGCTCGGTTTGCCAGGTCATTATGATGGTTTGGGACATGCTGTTGAACTGTTGACATTAGACAAGAATGTGTGCGTTGCTATAGTATCCGAGATGTGTTAGCGGATCTCATTCCACTAGAGCACATGTGTTTTTCTAGACTCTTGGGCGATCTTGGAGAAAGTCAGGGATGAAATAACAGATTGTCTTCAAATGCCTCAGTCCAGCTCTGAATTTTATTGGCACTTGCATATTCCACTGTTTATTTCATTAAGTGAAATCTGTTTCTTTTGCGTCCTGCGCAGAACGTGAAGGATGACGGACAGCATGTGTGGCGACTCAAACACTTTAACAAACCTGCCTACTGCAATCTTTGCCTGAACATGCTGATTGGTGTGGGGAAGCAGGGCCTCTGCTGTTCCTGTGAGTATATTTACTTTGCCTGGACGTCATCACCTGGAGGAAAGGTTGATTTCATGGAATAGTCCTATTTGTAGATGGAGACCTAAGAAATGATTCTGACCTTTCCTGTACCTAGGATTCATGTTTCCCTGCAATATGTTCCTAAATGTTTAGGTCTCTCTGGTTTTATCTTTCTTCACTTTTGAGAAACCTTCCCCTTGGAAAAGAACAAAGGACATTTTCCAATTGAGTAGCCATTTTCTTTCCATTGTAGTTTGATTTATGTATGATTCCCATTTCTTCTGGGACTATTATGAAAATTCCCACTGGTTTCTCATATTTTTATCTTACTCATATTTGCCCTTTTTTTCCAAGTTAGCCACTTAATTCACATTGTCTTCCTATCATGAGACATTTCTTTTAGGTCTTTTAAAAACAATTAAATTAATTGATTACTAATTTGCATTCAAATTAAGGATACAAACTAATCTTAAAGCTCAGGCAAGTAATTTTTAATGCTAGCATGAGGAAAACCTTCATATATGATTAATGGATATTGGGAACCAAAGGGTTGCCACTTCATGAGTTGTGGCCATTATTTCCATTTCAGTACACTTACCCTTACAATTTCCGTTTTTTTCTGTTGAGTGAGTACTGCCCATTAGAGTTTTCTGGTAGTATAGATAAGAATTTATTAACAAGTCACCTAAGTATTTTTAAATACACAATATTTATGCCTGAGAAATGTTTACATTTTCCTTTGACCCTGTTAAAACAGAGGAATAGTGTGTCCTAATCAATAAATATGCCATTCTCTTAGTCCAACAATTTGTCCAACCATCTCCTTTTCTGCTATGTATGGAGTTACTGAAAACTGTCAAGTACTTTTTTATGTTTACTTATTTATTTTTGAGAGAGAGAGAGCCAGAGAGAGAGAGCTAGCATGTGACCAGGGATGGGGGAACAGAGTGAGAGAGGGAGAGAGAGAATCCCAAGCAGGCTCCATGCTGTCAGTGCAGAGCCCAATATGGGGTTTGAACCCATTAACAGCGAGATCATGACCTGAACCAAAATCAAGAGTTGGATGCTCAACCAACTGAGCCACACAGGTATCCCAGAAACTGTCAAGTTTATTAAACACATCCCATTTTTTGGTGCATGTATATTAAATCTAATTTCTTACTTGGCTTCCATACAGCCCTGCTGGCTTCCGATACTATTTTTAGGTAGCAGCATCTTTGGTACTATATCTGAGAACTGACTTCCTCTTACGTGTCCCATTTGACATAAAAACCATGTTTTAATGCCACGTTTAAGTGAAATTAATAAAGTTATGTGAAATTGGCTTATGTCACTTCAGAGGGCAGTTTCTAGTGGCCACATTTGAGAGGCTAGTTATGCTAGAACATACTTTATGTACAAAGGAAGTAATCTGTTTTTAAACTTTATTTTTTTAAAGTTCACTTATTTGTTTTGAGAGAGAAAGAGAGCATGAGTGGTGGAGAGGAAGAGAGAGAGGAGACAGACTGAATCCCAAGTAGGCTCCACACTGTCAGTGTGGAGCCCGATACGGGGCTCTCAAACTCATGAACTGTGAGATCATGACCTGAGCCGAAGTCAAGAGCCTGATGCTTAACTGACTGAGCCAACAAAGTGCCCCTAAACTTTGTTACTTTTAAGGAAAAGGATTTTTCATGGTAGATTCTACTGATGGGAGCATATGAAACAAAATGATAATTCATTGTGAGCGCCGTCAAAGAGAGAGTGAGAATTTTGCTCACAAATTTTAACTGAGCAGTGTGACAAATGTAATACTCAACATTGTTACCAATATGGAAAAGAAGAAAAAGTGTGATTTCGTCTTCAAAGTCACCAAAGGAAATAAAAATTGTGGATATTTTAAAACAGTTTTACTATATAAATATGTGAATTTAGTATTGTTCATTCCAATTCTACGTAGTGGTTTGTTTTTGCCTTATTGAGAGGACTACACAGTAATTTTTTATTTAGTTTTTATTCTATATATTTATACATTTAGAGCTCTTTTAGAATAGGTTGTTCCTTTTGGACAAGCAGTGCCATGATGGCAAGTGAGGGATAAACTTATTTTGAAGGCCTGGCATGTATGATGAAATCTATTCTCTGGAAATGGACTAATCAGCCATTTAAGGTTTAGATAAATCAATAGAGAAAATAGCATAAACTCGTGGGCTTTTATTTCCATGCCCTCCAGCTGCTCTCATGCCTATACTTTGTAAAATATAGATCTCTTCCTTCTAGCAAATGACACCAAGCCATTTGGCAGTCATCAATTTGTCTTTAATATTTCTGTCATCTGGGAATTATTGTGAAAAATTTGAGTGAGGCCTGATTTAATTAAGCATTTCCTGCTATGCCATGACAGAGGAGTCTTGGTTTTTCACATGCATAATATTTCCTGTACTAATTGGCCTTTTGTATTCCATGGTAAAAACAGTCAACTTAGACTTTTTCTTGATGTAGCTGATTGGATTGATTAGGGGGCAGTGGATGTAGAATGAGGTTCTGTTAATGTCGTTCTTTCCCTATACAATTGCACTCGGGACCAGCATTAACTCTGAATGTGTATACGTGTTTCTTTTCAGTTTGCAAGTACACAGTGCATGAGCGTTGTGTGGCTAGAGCGCCGCCTTCTTGCATCAAGACGTATGTGAAGTCCAAGAAGAACACTGATGTAAGTGTGTAGCTGTACTTGCTCTCTTAGGGTGATGTTGAGGTATGCCTCCTCTCAATCACAATGTTCTTTTCTTATTCTAGGTCATGCACCATTACTGGGTTGAAGGTAACTGCCCAACCAAGTGTGATAAGTGCCACAAGACGGTTAAATGTTACCAGGGTCTGACAGGACTGCATTGTGTTTGGTGTCAGATCACAGTGAGTAACATCGGAAAACAAATCTCTAGCATTCACTCAAAATGACGACACTCCAAGAATTTTATCCTGGATGATGATCCAGAATTTTAGACTAACTTAGCATAAAACCATGGAAGCTTCTTATCCCATGTGGCTCTCAAAGGGATAAGTGTCAGAGTCAGATTTGTCCTCATAGAATCCAGAATCTTAGAACTACTGACATTCTTAGAGAATTTACCATTATGTAGATTCCAGCTATGTTCCAGGGAGCTCTGGGGGGTTACCAGGAAGGTAATGAAAAGCCATGGCTAGGGGTGGGCACTGTGTGTTGGGTATAGTCTGTGTAGAACTCCGCTCTCCCTCCATCCCCAGTGCTATTTTGGAAGAAATTTGTTTTACATGTTGTAAATGTATTTTAATCACAGAATCTATGGGCTTAAAAAAGGTAAAAAGATGAAAAAAACTTAATTATATAACGAAGATCCAAGACCAAGAAACATAGCAAATTGATGTTGACCACATGGTTAGGTAGACATGCAAGTGGGTCGATATTTTAGTTCTCGATGCTTCTAAGAACTTATTTCGTGCTTCTTCACAATATGTTGTTGCCTTGTTTCTTCACTTATATCATGATTTGAGGGATACAGTTTTACATGTGGCATTTACATATAATATTTATAGATGTAAACTCTAGTCATTATAATGATACTGAGAGTTGACAAAGAAGAGGTAAATTGGTCTTTTCTGGGAACTTTTAGGATTCTAGTTGGTTTGTATAATTATGAAAACCTGGTTCAAATAAATTCTGGAATAAATGATTTTAGATGATATTGATACTATTTTTGTGCTTAATTTTTGGAAATTAGTGGGGTGCCTAGGTGGCTCAGTCATTTAAGCATCCGACTCTTGATTTCTCACAATTCGTGAGATCAAGTCCCACACTGGGCTCTCTGCTGACAGTGAAAAGACTGCTTGGGACTCTGTCTCTCTCTCCCTGTCTCTCTTCCCCTCCCCAGCTTACACTCATGAGTGCTCTTTCTCTCTCTCAAAATAAATAAATAAATAAATAAATAAATAAATAAATAAACATTAAAAAATGATTTCTGAGAATTAGATAGAATGCCATTTTTATGGCATAGTACAAAAATATTTATGGAATTGTTTCCCCTCCCACACATAACATTTTGATTTTGTTTTTCCAGCTAAGGCATGAGTGCTCTTGTTAGAGGAGAAATTGTTCTTGCTTTTGTGCAACTAAAACAGTAGAGGGCACTGTTCCAGTTAAGTACATTTTTCTGTAGTGCCCCTGATCACCATACCCCACAAACCATTTATGATTTTTCTTAAGCACACATATGCATAACACACAGGATAATGAGAAAAACAAACTGTGACTTGCATTTCAAAAATACAATTACGTACTTTTTTAAATGAACACATTTTCTTCAATCATTTTCAGCTATTACTCAGTTAAATTACATTTACATTTGAAATTTCCTCAATTATGAAAGACAGTTTTATACTTTTGAAGTGTTTGGTTATTATAATAAAATGTGTAACAATGATTTAAATTACTCATATGGATTACTTAAACGTGTTAAATCCTCAGTTTTAAGAAGACCACACTATTTCGTTTTAGAAAATTTGTGCACATTATATAATAATTTTTGTTTGCTAAGCATCTGTAAAATATGCAGTTTTTGGTTCAGATCTTATAGAAGCCTGTTTTGATTATTTTTCCCTTAATAGTGCATCTTTCATTAGTTATATCTTGACTTAAACTGAATTAGGGGTGCCAGGGTGGCCTAGTCAGTTGAGCGTCCGAATTCGGCTCGGGTCATCATCTCACAGCTCGTGAGTTCGAGCCCCACGTTGGGCTCTGTGCTGACAGCTCAGAGCTTGGAGCCTGCTTTGGATTCTGTGTCTCCCTCTTTCTCTTCCCCTAACCCACTTGCATTCTGTCTCTCTCTCCAAAATAAATGAACATTAAAAAAATTTTTTTAATATAGAAAAAAAAATAAACTGAATTGGGACAATATCAGAATTTATTTCTTCTTTATATTTCAAGTTGTTTCCTCATTCTTCATAAATTTCAAATGTAATGTCTTAGGTTTGTTTTTCTTCTCTTTTTTAATTTATTTAAATTAATATCTTTTAAATGTGTACTCATCTTAAACATGCATTGCTAAATATAAAATATGCATTGCTAATACAAAAGCTTTTGAGCTTCCAGAATTTTCTTTATTTAGCTCATTTCTTCCTTTCATTTTTTAATCTCCATGAAGTGTCCTCTCCTTTCTATTCTATGGAAATGACTCATATCAAAGTTACCATTGGAAATAGTCTGTTATTTCTATTTCATGAATCTTGAAATTATTTTCTTGTTTTATATCCCATTTTGTTTCCCGACCTTTCTTCCTTATGTTTTAATGGCCCTCTCATCTATGGCTCCACAAATCTGCATTGCTACCCCAACCACTTATTAGTCACACATTTATATTTGATCTGAATGTTGGCCCCAATCTTGTAAGAAATTGGGCCTTGCTTTTGTAGGAAAGAGGGTGTTCCCTCTGAAGAAACTATATACTTTTTCAACTCTCAGGATTTCGTGTCCAAATCAATTCAGACAATAAACCCCTGACATCTTAAGTAAAGATCAGTGCATATATGAAGATTACTTTGTCACTATGGCAGGGCACAATATAACCTATAAATGTCTTCAAATCCTTTAATTCTGGGTCACTTGGGTGTCTCAATAGGTTGAGTGTCCCACTCTTGATTTTGACTCAGGTTGTGATCCCAGGGTCATGGGATCAGACCCGGAGTCGGGCTCTGTGCTGAGCATAGAACCTGCTTGGGATTCTCTCTCTCTCTCATTTTGCCCCTCTCCCCCGATCTCTATCTCTCTAAAATAAATAAAATGAAAAAAAAAATCCTTTAGTTCTACTTAAGAAATAAAGGAGCAGTGAGGGGTTAAAGGCAGAGTAAAAAAAAAAAAAAAAAAAAAAAAAAAAAAAAAAAAAAAATGGCTGCCCTCTTACTAAGCTCTGCTAAGTCCTGAGGCTTCTGGAGAACCTCAGCCTTATTTTTCACACACCATGATCTCTAAAGGTCATTCGGGTATTTGGTTTATGAAACAAAATTCCACAATTTTTAAAAAAAGTTGTCATCTATCCAAAAGAATATGTAGCCCTCTCAAAAGTAAGTTCAGCCTTTTCTGCACTTTTGGATTTTTAATTATGAGCAATTTTAAGGACATATTTATTAATTTAATGATGCTGTACCTAGGTTAGACAGAAAATATTTACCTTAGAATATTTATATATTTACTGCCATCTATAGTTTCTTCTTGAACCATTGTATAAAGATTTTAGTATAAAATTGATTTTATACCAGTTCTTAACTGGTGCTTACCTACTACTACTCATTGCCTTTAAACAGACTGAATCCACTTTCTTATGTCTATGCTTCCCAGAAAGTTCTATTAATATAGCACATAGCTAGCAGAAGTTGTGAAAGAGATGGGTTGTGGCCTCATCAATGCTGAGTTTTAGGGAGACTTACCTGAGTGGAGTCTGTGGGAAATAGATTGCAGAGAGAAACAAAGAGCATGAAACTTCATTTCGCAGGTTTCCCAAATGCCATTATTTCTTTTATGTTTACTTTTAGAAATGGTTTGAGTCTTCTAAGGCCGATCAGATAGATTCTTAACATGGTCACTGTCCAACAACTAAGATAGCAGTTGTATAATCTTGGGCTAGACATATAAGAAGTTGTGAGCTGTTTCCTAATTTGTAAAATGGAGTTAATGGATATGCACCTTATGGGATTTTTGTAAGAATTAAACGAGTAAAAAAAAAAATCTCTGTAGGTGTATTTAGGGCAAGACCTCACACATAATAAGTGCTCAGTAATTGACAATTATTAACATAATGAAATCTAGGCAAAATATCATAGGGTCACAAAATCCAACCCCTGGTTCACAGAGGGCACTCCATGATTATTACTCATGCCCTTTCTCTTTCACCTCTGGAAGGATCTAGTTGCCCAGACTAAATCAGACTAGTATCTGCATATTCTAAAATCATCCAGAACCATGTGGTCCTGAATCTCACTAAATCCTAGACTAAGCTGATTTATTTATATTCACAAAAAGCACCAATTCCAGCTCTCTCTTTTCTGTCAGCCATGGCATCATCATGCTTGCAGTCATTGGAAATAAAGTTAGAAATCAGTTTCTTTTATTCTTGTCTTTCACCTTTCTCTCATATAGTCAACCTATCACTGAGCCTTGACATTTTTTCCTTAAAATATCTCTCTCGGATTTGAGTTTTTGTATCCATCATTCACAGCCCAAGTGCAAACTCTTAGCACCTCTCAACTAGATTAGAGTCAGAATCTCTTGGCTTATCTCCCTAACAGAAGGTACTTTTCCTATAATGCAGGCTGCAAACCACCTCCAGAATCATCTTCTGAAAATACTAGTTTGTTATCATATGCCACCTTCAGCACCCTATAATAGTTCTGTGATAATAAATGCAGCCCTCACTTCCTTTTACCCGACCTGGTTTTCATTTCCTCAAATATCAGCCCCAAACCCAAGCACATGACGTATATGTTATTCCTTTCTACACACAGCCCCTGCTGTAGTCGTGCATAGCTGTGGGCAGTCCCTTGGGAGGGCCATGCTTCCCCCTTACCTGTTATTTTACTTACTTTATTCCCTTGACTGTACCCACCTTGAATTCTAACTGCCCCTCAAAAACCAAATTAAGTTCCATATCTTCCTTGAAATTTCCCTTGACACTAATCACTCTCTCTCTCCTTTTTAAAAATACTTTCTATACATTGAGTCAATACCAAAATGAAAGACTAAATGCTCTCCAGTGGTTTCAGGTCTACGTACTGAAGTTGTACACACTGCCAGACTACAATGTGATTGAGCTCCTGGTCAAAAATAGACACTTCTACCTAATCACCTAAAGTACTTAACAGAGTATTGAGGTTAGAGAAGGTCCTCA